CTTTCATAGCTTCCAACCATTTATCAGAATCAATACTTTCCATGGCTTGTGAATACGAAACCGGATCCTTTCTTATCCCAATATCAAAGTCAGATTCTTGTAGATACACCACGTAATCATCCGAAATGGCAGATTTTCTTTCCCTTTGAGATCTCCTCAAAGCTGCCGGTTGTGGTGGTTCTACATCATTTTCAATGGCAATATTTTCTGGTGGTAATGAACTATCTCCATCACGTTGCTCATGATCCTCAACGAAAACATAAGGTTGAGGAGCAACAGTTTCCATAGGTAGAAAGGGTGGTGGGATATCCACTCTTATCTCCTCAATTTCAACTTTTCTTAGTTCATTACTCCCACTATTCTCGCCATTCTCTAAGAATCTAGCATTTCCGGTTTCAACAATTCTCGTACTATGGTTAGGACAATAAAATCTGTAACCTTTCGATTTATCTAGATAACCAATGAAATATCCAGATACCGTTCTCGAATCAAGTTTCTTCTCATGAGGGTTATATTTTCTAGCCTCCGCTGGACAACCCCATATATGCATATGTCTTAAACTCGGTTTCTTACCAATCCATAACTCAAAAGGAGTCTTTGGAACAGCTTTACTAGGAACTCGATTTAAGATATACATTGCGGTCTTTAAGGCTTCACCCCATAAAGAAACAGGTACAGTAGAGTAACTCATCATACTCCAAACCATTTCCATTAATGTACGATTACGCCTTTCAGCAACACCATTCTGCTGAGGCGTTCGTGGCATTGTATACTGTGCACAAATGCCATGCTTTTCAAGGAATTTGGCAAAAGGTCCAGGATTTTGTCCCGACTCATCATATCTACCATAGTATTCACCACCTCGATCTGATCTCACAATTTTAATCTTTTTATCTAATTGTCTTTCGACTTCAGTCATGAACATCTCAAAGATGTCAATGGCCTGAGACTTTTCATGTATTAGATAAACATAACCATAACGAGATAGATCATCTATAAAGGTGATAAAATACTTTTCTCTTGTAAAACATGATACAGATCTAGAGCGGTCCACAAATATCAGTGTGATTTATCTCAAGAAGCTCAGTACTTCTTGTGGAACCCTTCTTTGTATGTTTAGTTTGCTTTCCTTTTATTCAATCTACACATACAAGAAAGTCACTAAAATTGAGATTTTGTAAAATTCCATCCTTTACTAATTTCTTTTTTTTTTCTCTAGAGATATGCCCTAGTCTTTTATGCCACAAAAAAGAAGAATTTTCATCAATCATACTACGCTTAGAACCAACAACAGAATGCAAGGAATTTAAAGCTTGTGCAAATTCTTGGTCCAAAATCATTTTATACAAACCATCATATAAAATTGCAGAACCAACCATAACATAATTTAACAACAAGTCCATACGTCCAGAACCGATTACAATATTATAACCAGCATAATCTAATCTAGACAATGAAACTAAATTCCTGGAAATCGAAGGTACATAAAAAGTGTTTAAAAGATCCATTACATGACCAGTCTCTAGCAATAAACGATTGTGCCAACAACATGCACTTCAACTTTGAGACGATTCGCCATAAAGAGGAACTTTGCACTTTCCTTCGGTTTCCGAGTGGAAAGGAATCCCTGCATCAAGTTAGTTACATGAGTAGTAGCTCCAGAATCAATCCACCAAGTATTTGAAGGAACATCAGCAAGATTTGATTCATGACATACAAAAGAAAGATTTATACCTTTCTTTTCGAACCAAGCCTTACGCTTGCTACATTCCTTCTTCACATGTCCCTTCTTGCCACAAAAGTAGAATTTGACAGTGAATTTTCTCTCATGACTCTGGTTACCTTCCCCAGGTCTATCTTTCTTTGGTGAGATTTTCTTATCATTCCGAAACTTTCTTTTCCTTTTCATGCTTACTTGAGATACATTAAGAGCAAGGCATTTTCCTTCTTGTCTTAACCTCACTTCCTCCTGAACACATGTACTTGACAACGCATTCAAATTCAACTTTTCACTATTAGCATTATACTGAATTTTGAATGGTTCAAATTGCGATGGAAGTGAGTTAAGAATAAACTGTACTAAGAAGGACTCATCTATGCCTATGCCCAATGCTTTAAGTTTTGCAGCCTTTTCAGACATGTTCAAAATATGTTGTTGAACACCTTTCACGGTGGTCAATTCAGCCATTAATGTGCCTGCAAGGGACTTATCAGCGCTTTTAAAACGCTCCTCGACATTCTTCAGAAATTCTGAGGCAGACTCAGTAGTCGGAAGAGAGGTCTTAATATTGCTGGCAATAGTCATTCTCATAAACATCATACTGAGTCTATTAGACCTTGTCCATGCTTTATAATTTTCAACCTGTGCCGGAGTACTTTCATCCGTTATTTTCGCAGGTTTTTCTGTAATTAAAGCCATGTCAAGATCTAATACTCCCAGTGAGAATTGAAGCCTTTCTTGCCATTCCGCAAAATTAGACCCGTCAAACACAATCATTCCAGATGCCATGTTGTGCAATGAAGTGGGAACTGTTCAAATAAAACATAATGCTCACAATTAAACCTCATATCAAAATATTAGGATGAACCATTGATATCACAAAAAATTTCCTTTGGGTAAATTTAAGCATATATATTGTTCATTCCACGGAAGCTTAAATATTCAATTGCTTGTGCTATTTACATGTAACCTTTGGGTTTCCATTATACCTACATAAATAACACAAATAATTAACTTTCATATTGTGGTTAGAAAATCAATACTCTCCTTTGGGCTAGTATTAATCCCTAATCACAAACACACTTTATCCTTAATAAGTCTTCCTTAAAATTTTATTTAAATTAATAAGTGCATACTTCACTTCTTTAGGCCACTTTGGTGACAATCTAAATTAGTGATTCATACACCCATTAATTTTACATACGACATACTCTTAGAAGAGTTAGTTCACAATTTACCATAATATGAATTTTTAAGCTTAAATTCAAATTAGTGGACAATCCAACATTTAAGCATTCCATAATGTCCAAATAAAAATTTTCATAAATTCATAATAATAATTTAATACACAAATATGATAAAAGCCCCAATTTTATTTCATTTTATTATGGTTATATATTTAATTAACCATTACCGAAAATAAGAACTAAATTAGCCCAGAAAATCTACTTCATGAAAAAATGATTTGAAGGTACATGTAGATACATAATCATGTAACAATCAAAATCCCCAAAACAATTTGTAAAAACCACACACAAAATTCACCCAATTTGAGAGATCTTCAACCGAAAAAATTAGGGTTCTTCGTTCTTCATGCAAAATCAATTCATAATTCATCAAGGAAGCATGTTAAAATGCTATAAAAATCATTTATATTAACTATAATATGATTCTATCATTTCCCCTCAATCAATTTTGCAATATATCATCAATTTCATGTCCGGAAAAATCCAACTTGGGCTACATACGAAAATGGTATTTTCGAACCCTAAATTGCGAAAATCTCTTTGTGCATGCAACCAAAAGGCAATTAAATTTCACCATATATCAATAACAACATGACAAACATAATCCATGCATCAATTTGGCCAAAAAAACGATTACAAGAATGACCTAATTCATTATTTTGGGCGTAAAATGCAAAAAAGATGCATGCAAAAATAATATTATATAGTTGATGAAAAAACAATTAATTCATACCATAAATTTACATCAACATGGTGAAAAAAAGCCCTAAGTTAATTAAGCATAATATTAACTTTAAGGAATCTAAAAAAAAAAAAAATGGCATGCATGAACGATTTTCGGCAAGCTCATGAACAAGCTCAAATCAACAAATTCGTTAATGCATGTATCAAAACAGGCTCGGATACCAAATGTAAGAAATACTTAAGAAATTTAATGCGGAAATAAACCTTAAGCCTAGAATCAATTGATACATTATATACCATTAGATGAGCTTGAAGCCATGATTGTACCTTTGGTTGGATAAACCTTGATAGGGAAGAATAACAATACCAAACCTTTCTCCTCTCTCTCTCTCTCTCTCTCTCTCTCTCTCTCTATCTAACTTAATTACTGGATGTTTTTTATTTGTGTCCTTAGTGATGGAATGAAAACAAAGTTAATTTCTAAAAGAAGACATAACCCTTATATATATATATATATATATATATATATATATATATATATATATATATATGAATATATATATATTTTATATGTAGTCCATTTGTCCTTAATAGAGGAGAGCAGAGAGCCTGATTTTAGTCCGATAAAACCAACTATCTTTTATATCAATAACTGTTATCTGTTATTAATTATTTATAAATAAATGATTAATCGGCTAAGTAATCTAATCCATCAAAGGACACTTATCTTTTATACAGTATTGATTTAATATGAGCATTTCTGTAATTGGATATATGTATTAACTTAAATAGTGGGATTTAATTAATTAAAACAATATATTAGCGGGTCACCCACTTGACACGTAATGTGGAAATTACACTACAAACCAATTCTGTTTCCCAATGCAGACTGGTGATACTTTTGAAACTACAATTTCTACCAATCAGCTGAGTGGTGATGCTTGTGTTGAGCCTCTAAAAGTTGGAATGCTTTTTAAAGGTTGGGAGGAAATTGAGCTTTACTACAAAACTTAGGCCGAGTAGTGTGGATTTGGGGTTACTAGGGTGCAAGGTTCATTCACTAGTAAGAAAGAGAGAAGGGGAATAACTTGGAGGTGTGAATGTTGGGGTGCACCAGATACGAGGGCGAAGCGTGAGGCAAAAAAAAGGTCAAAGTTAATGGAAGTTGGTGGAAGTGCAGGAAATGTGAACGGTGTTATCAGTGAGGTAGAGCTCGCAAGAGGCAAACGAAATCTAAAAAATGTGAGTGCTTAGCTAGGGTGTACGGGAGTGTGAATGCTGAAGGGATTTGGGTGTTGAAAACTGTTGTCTTGGAACATACTCATACCCTCTCTCCAAGTATGGCAAATATGGTTAAAGAGTATCGTATAAAGAAGATAACTTCAACCGTACGAAAGAGGTTGTTGAATTATTATGAGGTGGGTGTACCCATGTCTCAAATTCGCGGTTTTTTACGAACTGAGAATGAAAACTTGCCTAATGTCAAGGATCTCCAACATGAGGTGTATAAGAAAATGCGGCACAAGATGGTCGGGGGAGATGCATGAGCTATGATGGCCTACTTTGATTACATGCAAGCTGATAATCAAAATTTTTATCATGCTCATAGGTTGGATGAGGAAGGTCGCCTAAAAGATGTCATGTGGGTGGATGCAAGGAGCCGGGTAGCTGATGAAGACTTTGGAGATGTAGTTTGCTTCGATGCAACATACCTCACGAATGAGTACGAGCTACCCTTTGCTAATTTTGTGGGAGTTAACCACCATGGACAATCTATTTTGTTAGGTTGTGCTCTCATTTCTCAATGAAGATTGTGATACCTATCGTTGGGTCTTTGAACAATGGGTTTCTTGCATGGGAAATAAAGCTCCTGTCGCCATCCTAACTGATCAGGCAGCTGCTATGCGGAAGCCGTTAGCTGAAGTCATGCCTAACACACACAACCGATGGTGTATATGGCATATCATGAGGAAATTCCCTAAAAAACTTGGGAAGTGTGCCCTATAAGTATTGCCTTTGTACATGTTCTTTTAGTGTTTGAATTTAATGTTTGTCTTGTACTTATTGGTCATTCATTGTTTACTGTAATGCCAAACTTGTTATTATTTTTGCATTGTACTTCATTTGAACTTATCAGTATTTAGAATGTTGAGCCTAATTGTGGGTCTGGTATTGTTGCAGTGTTGAGTTCCTATTTATATTTTCATGTAGAAACAGTAGGCAGTAATGTTCTTCAAATTATTGCTAACTACCTGGATTATATTTACTTCCTATGAGCAACCATGTGCCTAATACAAGTTGATCAATTCAATGATTCCAGTATGAGTATGATTTTTGTTATTTGCAGAAGACCATTCTCTTGTTCTACCAGCCAGACCTAGTTCATATTAGGAGTGGCTTTCCTTTTAAAGTTGATGCCACATGTTAGTTTTGTTGGTATGAGGCTCATGAATGTTAAATAGGCATGAGCTCTGTAATGTAGATTCTTTGTTGTTGTGGTGGTAACTATGTCCAGAATATTGAAATAGCAGGCCCTTTAAAAAACAAAATATTACATTAGCATGAACTTCCCAAAGCAGTAGCTATGTTGTGTTGTAGGTATCTGTGACATGAATATATTGACTTCTGTACTGCAATACCTTTCTTTATGTATTATGATAATGCTCGTTCAGGACAATAAAGTGATACATGACAGGTACAATGAGTTCAAGAATCCATTGAAGAATGTAATTTATGACAGCTTCACTGTCAATGAATTTATTAGTAGATGGAATGATGCAACGAAGGTGTATGGCCTCGAGGACAATGAATGGCTGCAAGAGCTATTTATTGAGAGGCACATGTAGGTGTCGGCTTACGTGAAAGAGTACTTTTGGGCTGGTATGAAAACTATGCAACGGGTTGAGAGTATAAACCGGTTTTTTGATGGCTTTGTTACTCGGAAAACAAAGCTCTTTGAGTTTCATGAAAAATACTCGAGCCCGATGAAGAAAAGGGTAACAAATGAGACGGATGCAGATGCAAGGGATTCAAAGTACATAAGACGGCTTGTGAGTGGATTCAAGGTGGAAAGGTATTTTCAGAAAATATATACTGATGCAAAGTTCCAAGAAGTTCAAATAGAATGTGCAAGGTTGTTATATGTACAGATTAAGGAGGAGAAAAATATCAGTGACGTTGAAATTCATTGTTTGGTTGAAGATCGCATCTGGGTTGTTCGAGAAGGTTCAAATGAGGAAACCATCACTGATTTGAGGAGGTTTAACTCACTTATTTTTAACCCTGTCACTGTTGAGTTACTTAAAGTATTGCATTGCTTGATGAAATAAACTGTATATGACACCTTTTGGAATAGTGTCTATTCACTTTTATGTATATGACACCTTTTGGAATAGTGTCTATTCACTTTTATGTATATGGCACCTTTTGGAATAATGTCTATCCACCTTTTTGGATATGACACCTTTTGGAATAATGTCTATTCACTTTTTGCATGCTGCATATATATTTTCAACGTAAGGGTTGTGAAGAGATGATTAGATTTTTAACTCTTCATTAAAATTCAATTTGCATGTGTTTGTCATTGTTTATCATCACAAAATAAATATAATAGATTACATTGAATCATAATTATACTACACATAATTGTGATTGTTCTTCGTTGTATCTCCTAAGTGATTTCGTGATACCCGGGTTGTAGTTTAAGGGTCGAAATATTACTTTTGGGAAAGTGATTCCATTCACGCCTCGAAGGTTATTATTGTTTAATTCCGATTTCTTCTTTGTGTCCCTTGTATTTTTAGTATTATCCCCAACAGTCACCAAACACATTAGTTGCGATTGTAGGAAGTTTGAAAAGGATGGGATTCTTTATAAGCATGTGATTAGAGTATGGGATCAAAACTTTGTGACATATTTTCCATCGGAATATGTTCTTCATCGGCGGCACAAGGATGTGTTGAGGAAACACACACGTATCAAAGTTTCATATCATGATCCTACTCAAACAGAGGAATGTGTTCGTTACAACAAGCTAATTCCAAACCTTGAGGCTTTGTGTGATGAAGCATCTGCCATTGATGACGATACAATAGATGTTGTCCGACAAGCAGTGACAAGATTCGTGCTCAAGTACGTGAGTGGCGTGCAAAACACATGACTAATCATGCTCCTTCTGTGGTTCTAAGTACCGTGGTCCCATGTTCTAAAATAGGGTCATCCAATCCTCCTCAACCTGGAGGCACTCCAATCTCCAAGCCTAGTAATGTACCTGCGTGGGGGTAATACAAGTACCCCCAATAACTCAGAATATGTTGGGGGAAAGTCTTCAGGGTACCTAATTCAAGATCCTGAAAATCAAAAGAGGCCACGAGGTCAGCCAAAGGGCTCAAGAAACAAAACATTGGTTGAGTTAGGGTACAACGCAGGCAAGGTGAAAACCACTAAGGTCAGTATGCTGGTCAGTGTTCTACACTCATATCTGACAGCTTGGTTGTATATGTTTGCATTCAGTATTGTTTTGATTTGGACATATTCTGCGTTTAAATTTCTTTGTACCACAGAGAGGCCAATCACAAGCACAACCCGGAGCTGCAGGTGAATTAGCCCAACCAAAGACGTTACCGGTATTTAGTTAACCTCCTCCTGTTTCTGTGCTATTGTTTGTGACTCTTGCAACATATGGACTGATGCAATTTTGTTCCCAGGCGAAAAGGAAACACCCTTACACTGAGTTCTACAATGTGACTCCTGCACACGATGTTCCATATGATGACTTTGATCTCAGCAGGAATGTGCAATTGAACCAGAGCTGTTCTGAGTGTTGTAGCGCAACATTTGCATTAGATCTTAATGCACTCTTTAGGAGGTGTTGGTCTATTTTCAAACCTTTTCAGCAAAAGCAATTAGTTGTATGGTTCTTATGACTGTTAACTTTTAAGTTGCAAACATTACGTTGTGACCCCAGGTCAACTGCAGCTATGTAATCAAAATGCTTAGTGTTTGTTAGAACATGGAGGTGTAAAGAGTCGTGACTCCATATATTGACTCCCTCTATTGCATATTCTGAAGTTCTATTCAGGGTTGTGCTGTACTTCAACTAGGCTAGTCCATTTTCTTAACATGCTCCATCATATGCAGCCAAAACTGCTTTCAGATTATTAATTTGGTCCATTCTAAGCATATATTGTACTTGATAATGTTTACAAATGGGCAATTGGCATATTGAATAGTTGAACTAATTAGGCTTGTTTAATGTGATTTTCCTTGTTATATATAGGCTGTATCACATAAAGCCCATCATTTTGGAAGTAAGTTCCGTCTAGCCCATCATTTTGGAAGTAAGTTCCGTCTAGCCCATCATTTCAGTCCATCATTTTGTTAATTTTTACTCCGTCCAGCCCATACACATAGTCATAAATGACTTCAAACGTCTCATCATCCCTAATTTCATAATGAACGCCTCTATCATGACGTTGCATACTCTTGACTAATGGATCAGCCACATCCTCCACTGTCACCGGGACACTATAACCTGTTGGACCGTGACAATGCTAAGCCAGCATTGACTTGTTCATTCAGCTTCTCGTAAGGCCTGCTTGGTCACACCATCTGTTTTCGCAGCCTACCTGTGGCTGTGGCATTGCGTTTGAAGGTGGAAGCCAATTAGTTGTATGGATGCACATGGGTTTTTGTTTGAGTTGGGCATGGGAAAGCAGAAGTTCGATCGAGGCTTTTGGGGTAGTGTGGTGCCATCGGTTCCAAAGGGGAAAACCAAACATGGAACTGAAGGGAGGGCAGACATGGTTGCGATCAACTTTGTGATCCTAGGAGTTGCTAACTGTTTGATTGGTGGGTAACTATTTTTTCCCACCAATGCCCTTATATACTAGTTTGTATCCAATGGTGTTTCACCACGTGTACATGATTATGGCGGGAATAAGGGCCACTTTTCCATGCCCTAATTATTTTAATTTAGTGACTAAATATTCTGATTTTTCTATGCATTGAACACTTATATTCAAAGGCTCAACATCCTTTAGGGTTTTGTAACTATCCATATTAACACTTATTTATTGTAGAGTGTAATTGGTATTTTAGTTGATAACTAAGTAATTTAATGTAATGAAGCATGTTTTAAAATTTTAACGTAATCATACAATATTCCTAACTATTATCTTAACATATAATGATATAATTGTAATATGTAAAAGATTATACTTTATATTATTAGCAGTATTAGCCACCGATAAATTTTTAAGTACATTTGTAGGTGCAAACTTCTGTATACTGTACAATTTACACATATCTTTTATTAGCTTTAGAAAAAGATAATGGGACATAAAACCAATTCATAAATCTACTGTTTCACTAATTTGGATATTTCCTTATCACAAACTTAGAACAATGTGTATAGGCTATATATACATTGGTATTTGTTTAAGACAAGGTATGAATTTAATTGAATTTTGTTTAGAATGTGTCACATTTTGTTACAATCTCAATTCGATATTGTAATTTATTAAAATTTGGTGATCATGTAACGATAATTGTAACTTGTAATAGATTATAATTAAAATAATTAGTTACTATGAATATAAGTGTCCGATGCATTGTTAAGTACAATTTTAGCGTTTAATATTAATACATGATAACTGATCTTATTCGTAAGCAAATCTCATGTTTGCTTAAGAACAATATAATGGGACAAAAATCAAATCTCAACTCCATATTTTCACTAATGTGTATATAGCCCTATCACAGACAATGACCAAAGGATAAAAGCTTCAACTTTCCTTTTCCATGAAACTCGCTTCACCAAGCCACCTTTTCACAATTTTATATCATTTCATAGCTATTCAACCGAATTCAAGATATGACAAACTCATTTGTGAACTATATTAGCTTTCCTATTGATTAAAATCTTAGAAAAGGATTTTGGTAAAATCTCCTAGGAACCTTACTTTTAATAAGATATGACAGAGTCTTTGTTGAAGTTCTTCAATGCAAAACTCCTACTTTTCCCCTTTTTATGTATGTCTTTCTTACACTTCCAACATCTTATCTTTTCCCTTACCTATGATGTCTATCTCGAATACAAATATTTTTGTTTAGTAAAACCTTTGTCATTGTCATATATAACGAGTTGTGACATTTGTACGACATAGCTAATATAATTACAGTAAATTACAAATAAAGGGTTTAACAATTCCAAACCTAATCAGAGGGTTATATTAGCATACTTGTATTGCAGTTTTTTTTTTTTTTTTTTTTTTTTTGTTTTTGTTCTTTACATTAGTTCTCTTAATTTTTGAATTAAAACTCTTGAAAAAACCACGATTATGGATAATTCTATAACGAAATACAATTTTACGTACTAATAAAAGGGACATAACACATTTACTTCAAAAATGTAAGACCATTAAAAAATTACTTTTACTAATATACGCTACATGAGAATACACTCTTCTTCATGCAAGTCATAAGTACCACTACTTGTCGATTACATTATATTAGTGGGTCATTATCCCTAATATCATAAACACAAAATATATTTAAATATAACCTTGGCTTGTCAATTTATAATTACTCTACTCTAAGTACTCGTACTCTTCGTCAGCATCCGAGTCTTTCAGTAACATAGGCCAATCTCCTAATATTCCCATGGTCCTTCATCCTGGCTAGAATTAATAAAAAACATATTAATTACACGAATGTCATATTGGTCTAGTAGTTGGAGGACTACATGCCAAGGCCAAAATATTATATATAGGAAAATTTAAAACGAAATTAGGTTCATGAATATTTACAATTATCCTGATCGATAGAATATAACCGTATAAACTAT